CTTGATCAAAAGGGGGAAATGTGAAAATTGACTTTACAAATTGGAGTTATTTTTTTCAAACCCAACTAAATTATAGTCTAGGGACCAGGGAGAAGAAGCACTTAGGTCACAAAGCACCTGCCCCAGAAATTATCTCACAAGCTCATCTGCCAAAACAACCTGCTGTAACCTTAAGACCAGTTTTACCTAGTAGCTGCCAAAGCAACCTTCTGTGATTCTAAAGCTAGTATACCTACCACTGCTACTCACCAATCAGAGTTTGCCAACACCCCAAAAAACTCCACTAGTGCTAACAAACTTTCAAAACAATTTGCATAACATTTATCTTCTCCAGTAAAGCCCCAAACTTTTCTTTAATTCTTTGGAACACCAAAGACTACCCTAGTCAGTGTTTATGATCTAAATTGCAATCCTATTTTTACATATGTTTTAAAATAAAACCTTTTGCTTAGAGATTCATCTCTAAATTTTACTTTGTTTGTACATTGTCAAACTAATTTTAAGAAAACTGATGGTCATGTAGGTGTTTTGGACACTCTACAGAATGCTGTGTATCTTGCCCTTGCTGGTAAATTAGTGCCAGTCTTCTCTGCAGACCTGTGATGTTAGCAAAAATTTATCTCTTGGCAATAATATGGTCTTCTGAATGTGAGAAAATGAATACTGCCATATTGCCTAGTACCAAATTTTTTCCTTCACAAAAGTTTTCAGCTTTCTTAACTTTATCAAACCCTATGAGAATGAGCTGCCAAAGGAAAAATAGTAAACTGTAGGTTTTGCTTTCACACTTTTAAGAGTTCCACAATTCATCACATTGGTTTTCCAAATCTTCAAGGAAACTATGTTTTCTAGGAAGATACTGCATGTTTAACTTGTGAATTGGATAGACTTACCAATGTGCTAGATGCTCAGAGCTAAACCTTTTACTACAAGAACAGCTATAGTATTTAGTAAGTAGGCATAGGTTTTATTGGTCCTTATAGCTAGCTATAGTGCTGTTTTAAGCTCTCCTTATTCCTTTGAGTCTTTAATATAAATAATTAGACCCATGACAGAAAACCAACATTTTTTATGGCATATATTCAGAGAGTCAAGGTATGAATGTTAGAATAAGAAGAATTAGAAGACATGTTGGGGGGACTATTATTGCTTATTAATTGACCATGGGTATATCATTCTTTTGAATTATCATACTCAGGGAAAAAGAAAGGTAGAATACTTGGAAGTAAAGATGATAAGATTTCTAAATTCCTCATATTTCTTTGACCAGAACCATAAGATTAGTATGCATACTTAACAAAAATAAATGTTTTGTTTTTTACTCAGCTTCAATTTTTCTATGTACAGTATTCAGTTTTTGAGAATAGGGATGATTCCTTATTCGTTGTTGTATTTCTAGCCTGTAGAATATACTAACAAACATTTCTTGAAATAACTTTTTTTTTAATTTTAGCTATACAATGTATCATTGCTTTTATAATTTTCATGTCAGAATCCTCTTATTTGTTAAGCTATTGGTTGCAATTCAGCAGTAATTGCAGGAAACTTTAAGTGGGTTAATAAAATTTCTTACAAACTTGCCAATTTGCATTCTCTAATGTTAAAATCTAGATTTATGTATTTTTTTAAAAGTTTTTGATTCCAAATATGAAAATTCAGCTCTGCAAAAGCCAACTTTGGAATTTTAAAACTTTGGATACAAATGTAATATGCTAGTTACTGACCTATCAAAAATTAGATGTACAAACACAAACTGACACACAAAAACATAGAACTTAGGTATTCATAGAGATACAAAACTGGAAATGTTTCAAATACATTTAACATGTTTTTAAACCCTAAATTTCTACCCTCAATATAATAACTTTGTATCACCACAAATAGTCCAAACCCACAACCTTAAATGATTTTAAAGTGGTGTTGGGGGGCAGTGTTCAACAATTGTGAATTATCTGAAATTTATTTACATTATAACAGGTTAGCCTGCTACTGTTTCATGGAGGTCCCAGAAAACAAGAGACTACTGGATCAGAGAAAAAGAACATTTTTACTCATGGCAAAGCAGGAAGCAGGAACTGTATGTTTACATCAGTTCCCTTTGCCAGGCCTCCAGTCCCATGGAACAGTGTAGAGGAGAGCCCAGTTGTGCACACACAGTGGGGCTGTGTCACAGCTGAGGAACTCTAAGCCAAGGTAGCCCTAAGCTTTTAGATGCAGCTGCTAGCAAACTTTTCCAACCTTGCATTGCAGTAAGACATTATCTTTATTTAAAAATTTGCACTCTGCCCAAGACCTGGGCACTGCATCTTTTGAGTGTCTTTGTTGTACAAACATCCTTTAAAAGGTAGTCTGGAACAGAACACATGCAGAATGTTAGCACCCCATGGAGATTTAGCTTCCAATGGGGAGTTAGAAATATGTATCTAGGATTTTATTTTTTTTTAACCAAAAACATTCCCTACATGTTGGATCAAACAAGAAAGCTGAACCTTTAAAATGACTCCTACATCATTTTCTCCTTATTCATCTATTCATCAGTTCTGTTTACTCTATCAAATATCTTTCAATCTCATTCACTTTTCTCTATATTCATTGTTTTTGCCTTAGTCTAGTTCATCATGATCAGTAACTTGACTTTACAAGAGCCTCTTCACAGGTTTGCCAGTTTAGTACTAATGCTGCCAGGAAAATTGTTCTGAAATGCAAATCTGATACGATCCCTAGCAGAAATTAGTTGTCCTTGTCTTCTGGAAACAATCAACATTTCTTTAAATGTCTTACAATGTACTGAGCTTATTCTTCTTTTCAGTGTCTTCTCCTAACACTCACCTCTTATACTGTTATGTTGCAGCCACATTCAAGTTCCAGAACTGTGGATATTCCATTGCTTCTTCTTGAGATATACTACCTTAGACCCTCATTTTATTTCCAAGGCGTAATTAATGCCTACTGATTCTTCAGGATCCAACTTAGATGTCATTTTCTTCAAGAAACCTGTTTGACTCTTCCCAGTCCAGGTAATGCACTTCATACTCCCTCTTTTACATATATTGCTATCCCTTAATAAAATTGTTGGTTAACCTGTTTGTATGTCCCACCACACAATAATTTCTATGATAATAAGTACCCAGAACCCACAAAAACTGTCATATGGTCATTGCTTATAAGTACTAACTGAATATATAAATGAATTAATGAATATGTAATGAGATGTTTGCTTTGTTGGAAGATATTAGAAATAGAATTGCACTCCCAAAATGATGGGAATCAATTGGAATCAATTCTGTTGTTGGATATTAATTTTTTTTCTTTTGTGGTTTTCTACACGACATTCCTTTGACCTTACTGGTATATACGAGTAAGTCACTTTACAAAGAGGATTTTAAATGTCAGCCAACTCTGACTTCTTAGAATTATGTTCTCTGGAAAAAAAAAAAAAAAACAGTAGGAAAATACGACAGGTGGATATGTGTTGGGGATTAAAGTACACTGGGGACTGGAATGAACCTACCAATCTCATTAGCTGTCTTCTGAGCTGCTGAATTCTACGTAGGTCCCCTAGGTGAAGGGCTAATAATTAATTCAATTTGCTATCTATGCTGTGGAAAGCTCCAAAGGTTAAGATTATGGAGCACTGATGAGGGCAATCTTTTATACTGTTTAAATTGCTGTTTAAATTTGAATTAGATTCTAATGGTGACAGTTTGAAACTGACACAGTTTAATTCATTTATCACATTAGAAAACCTGACTACCTGAACTAGCTTTAAAGTATGTCTTAAATAAGCAGCCAGCCAGTGCACTTACATGTCCATTTTTACTATTTACTTGAAATTGGAATATGAACAGAAGTTGCTACTCTTGTCAGCTTTTGTGTCCACTTTCTATTGTTTTACTTTCTCTGCTATGAGTTCCCTCACCTGCCATGACATGCAGTCTCTTATAAATAGTGTAATTAATACTCCCCAGGACACAGCATTCAGGGTTGAAGGAGACTTAGGTAATAATAATAATAATAACATTTATATAGTGTTAGGATTTGCCAAGATTTTTATGTACATTTTGATAGATAGATAGAAAGAGATAGATAGATACATACATAGATACATAGATACATGGGAGTCAACTGTATATGTTTATTTAATCCTTCCAACAATTCTGCCAGGTAGCTATTATCTCACATTTTAAAGATGAGTCAACTTAAGCCAAGAACTATATTTTCCAAATTTATATAGTTAGTGAATGATAAAACTGCCTTTCTAAATTAGTAACAGAAATATTTGCCAAAATTCACTTGTATTGGCTCCACTGAAACTCTAGCACCCCGCACATTCCTCTAACTCATTCTGTAAATTCTGAATGATTTTGGTGTTTTGCCCACAGACTTGTGCTTGGTTACTGTTTGGCAGCTGCCATTTCTCTTCTTACCTACTCTGCTCTCTGGTGTTGCCCGTTGCTCAGTCACTGCTGTTCCCTGAAAACAGGAGGTATGCAGGTGCCTGTCCGCTTTGTCCTATCAGCTTCCAGTGCCTGCCAAACACTGCCCTGAGCCTGCCATAGGCATCAGCACTATGCCAAGGGCTGCATGCAATGAGATTGCCTGCTGCAGCCAGAAGGTACTCATATTGATCGCGCTGATGCTTTTCACCTCAGTTCTTTAGGTTTTCACTCAAGATTATTTTACAGGTCATGATATTTGGGTTTAGCAAGAGTATCAAAAAGTAGGAATTAAGTATGTAAAATATAAAATGCTCTATTTAGTATTAGCACCCCATTTATTTGACTAATGCTAAATTTTCTTCTTGGGATTAGTTTAATTTCATAAACGTTGTCCACTCATAACTTAAGACCCCAAGGGGTAGTTCCTTAACCAATGTTACAAATGTGCAGAATTGGAACATACTTAGGATTAAGTGCAGACACTTGCAACAGAAGTTGCTTATTATTTTCATGATTAATGCTATGATCTTTCAAGCATTCTGAAAAAAAAAAGAAAGACTAGAAGGTAAGACCACCTCATTTAATTGGGAATGTTAAATTCCTGGATGCCAGATCACCAGGCAGAATTTCTGCTTTAGGAGGAGTAGGGCTCTTGCACCTGTGACCAGGAGTTGTCTTTCTTTACTGTAGAAGTAAAGAGCACTCTTTCTTTACTGTAGTCAATGCTGCTTCTTTTCTGGCAAAATAAGGACAGAGAAGAATTATTATTATTTTTTTCCTCTTTGGGCCACAGACTAAACCAATGTAAATTCTCTGTGCTTCAAGTGAGCCTATATACTTACAAAAGGCAGGTGCAAGCTAGGAAAGGTGTTTATATTAGCAATACAAATATGTAAGAAAATAATATTTATATAGGGCTTTAGGGCAAGATTGGTGGGGGGGATTGAAGAACTAATAAACATGTCTGATTACAATTATTGAACAATTTATGAATTCAACATGGTTTTCAGGGATGAAGGAACTGGAACATAGAAAAGTAAATACCATTCTGTGTCTGCAATAAAGTAAAACTATGGAGTGTACAAAAGGATAATATCTGATGTAGATATCAAAAAGATAGTGAATATAACAGAACCTAAGAGACTACTTTGAATAAATGGGGGATGGGAGGAGAAAAGTAGAAAGAGAATAACTTTTCCCACTGTTACAAAGTAGCTGCCATTAGTACTGATGACAACTTTCGGTGTAATTCTTTTTTTGAATTTTTTTTCCTGTTTGAATTCTAAAGGCTGTTAAAACTAACCTTTGCAACAAAGAGGAAGAACATTTCAATAGTCTTTTATTTGCTGTAAATTGATTATGGAATTTACAATCTATAAAACGTTAATTTATATTTTATTAATAACATGCAGCTGGTCCTTGAATAACATAATTTTCTTCAATATCATTTCATTATAACATTGATGAGAAAAAACAATTGATTGCTAGCAGGGCATTGTCTGTGTGAAGTTTGCATGTTCCACTCCTGTCTGCCTGAGTTTTCTCTGGGAACTCCTGTTTCCTTCCACATTCCAAAGACGTGCATGTTAGGTGAACTGGTGCATCCAAGTGTGTGTGTGTGTGTGAGTGTGCTCTGCAATGGGATGGATTCCCATCTAGAGCTGGTTCCCAGCTTGTACCCTCAGTTGCAGTATGGCCTCTGGTTACCCATGGCCCTCAACTAGAAAAATTAGGTAATTATCATACTTTGTAAAATTAATCTTTCTTAAATGCATGTATAGCTCACATTTATTTCAACATTTAATATTAGAAGTGTTCTAGTCTTTATTGATAAGTTTGGTGATGCTTTTGTGACAAGAAATATGCTTTAGGAACTAAACTCTTGTTTATATCAGTCTATACCAGTAAACTAGTAAAACTGGTTTCCTCATATTTTGTTTCATTTAAAGTCACAGTTTCCAAAAACCTATTGACAATGTTAAGTGAGGAGTTACTGTAAGTTTGATTTTTAAAAATAGCATGTTTTTTTCTAGACTGGGACATTTATTCATCACTTATTGAACACATTTTTACTGAGCAATTACCTTGTGCCAAGCATGGTTTTAGACTGACAGAGAGTGGTTATTGGAACAAACACATTCTCAGCTTTCTAGGGCTTACAAAAGGTTATAAATATATAGAACATATTTACAAAAAATAACTAAATATATTAATAACTGGTATAGTAAGGGCTATGAATAGTAACCAGGATAAAGAGGAGAGTGGTGTATGTGTGTGTGTGTGTGTATTTTATATAAAATTATCAGGGAAGGCAACATTTGTGCAGAGTCTTGAAGGAGGCAAGAGATTTAATATGTGGCTCTCTCTGAAGAGTATTCTAGGCATAGGAAAGAAGTGCAAACATTTCTGGATGATAGCATGCTTGCTATGCTTGAGGACAACAAGGAGGCCGGTGTGCAGGAACAACATGAATAAGGAGGACATGAACAGTAAAGTGATGAGGTCAAACTGGTGGCAGGTAATCCTTTGTGAAAGTTTCGATTTTATTTTTTTATTTTGTAGTCAATTTGCAAATGAATATCCCCACTAGGCTACCTTTCAGACGAAACTACAGAACATGAACAGAAGCCTTGAAGCCTCCCTCATGTCCTCTTCTAAATAACATCTCCCACTCCAAACTCACCATTATTCTGACTTCTATCACCTTGATTAGCGTTCCCTGCTGTCTAACTTTATATAAATGAAATCATACTGTTTTCTTTTGAGATTAGCTTCTTTTGTTAAAAATAACATTTCTCTGAGTCATTTGTATTGTTGTGTGTAGCCCCAATTCATTCTTTTTCATTGCTATATATAGTGTTCCCTTCTACACATATAATTTATTTATCCATTCTTCTGTTGATGGACATTTGGATTATTTACAGGTTCAGCATATTGCAAATATTCAGCTATTATAAGTATTTTTGTAAATATCTTTTTGTACACATGTACTTATTTCTCCTGGGTAGATACCTATGAATGCAACTGCTAGATTTAATGCACATCCTTTTAACTTTAGTGAAAAATAAACACTTTTCCAAGTGGTTAAACTGATTTATGTTCATATACATTGTGTTGGAGAATTGCAGGTGGTCCACATCCTTGTCATTACTATAATTGTCATTTTTTTTGTTTGTTTGTTTTAAAGTGTGTATTCACTGGAATTTGATCGTGGCTTGAAATTTTATGTTTTCTATGACTCATTGCCTGAGCTAAGCAGAAAATGCCTGAAGGGAAATACCAGAAAAAATTATCAAGGGCTCTCTTTAGTGTACTTTCCTTTTTGTTCAGATATCATCTTTTGTCTCCTGACTGGCTTGGTTGCTCATCTGTGCCTTTAAAATATTGTTCTGTATTTTTTCTATTTTTTCTAATTGTTTTTGTTGGAATGATTAAGGTACTACAGTCTCCTTCATTGTGACCTATACTAGAAGTTGGAGGGTTTTGAACAGAGGCCTTATAGTAATTTTATTACATATTTAAAACTACAACTGGATGTTAAAACAAGATTTCTTGATTTTAAGTGAAGTGGTGATATAATTTACATCAGAATAGCAAAGTATTAATATATGGGAAATAGACGCTTCATGCAAGTTTTGTGGAATTTCCATATGAAGAAGGAAAGACTATTTTCTAATTTTTATATCTCTGGTTATAAAAAGGAACCAATAAAGGCCACAAAAGAGGATATGGGTGAAGTGACTTATTTTGAGACAAATCCATTTTTATGTGGAATCTCCTCCTTATTCTTGGGGGATGTCTAATGGAGTGCTACCCTATATCCAGACGTCTAGCGAGTAGGGCTTCAGAAAGGGACCCTTTGGAGGTCTTTCAACTGTTTCCCATGCATCTGAGAGACAGAGAAATAATGGAATTATGTCTGAGAAAGCTAACACAGAATGTAAATTCGGGAGCGACCCTGAAAATCTAGAGGATCAGAGATGAAATTTTTTTTTTTTTTTTTTTTTTGAGACGGAGTCTCGCTGTGTCGCCCAGGCTGGAGTGCAGTGGCCGGATCTCAGCTCACTGCAAGCTCTGCCTCCCAGGTTTTTACGCCATTCTCCTGCCTCAGCCTCCCGAGTAGCCGGGACTACAGGCGCCCGCCACCTCGCCCGGCTAGTTTTTTGTATTTTTTAGTAGAGACGGGGTTTCACCGTGTTAGCCAGGATGGTCTCGAACTCCTGACCTCGTGATCCGCCCGTCTCGGCCTCCCAAAGTGCTGGGATTACAGGCTTGAGCCACCGCGCCCGGCAGAGATGAAATATTTTTAAAGTGGACCCAAGAGAGTGATTGAGTTGCCCTGTGGTCCCAGAATGTATTTGGGTAAGCTTATAAGGGTAACACGTATCCAGAGTGGCTCAGGTAAGAGTTTTTCAGTAAGTTTTTCAGGTTGATGAGTGCTTTACTAGGACCAAATAGGGACCCTGTGGGAATGAAAGACAATATGGAGTAATCCTGAATCTTATCCAATAATATTGAGTGGAGATACAAAGGCCAAACCAGAAGAATGAGGTTAGAGCCCTATTATTGGATACCAGTGGCTGAGATAGGTGTCATGGAAAACTACTAGAAATAGTGGTAAATTCTGTGGAGGACTGCAGAAAGGAGCCTGATGCAGGATCCCTTGGTAGTGTTTCTAATAGAATCAGTTTTGATCATCTTCCAAGACAAGTAAGTAGGAAGCCCAGAGGCCAAGTAAGAAGTTCCCTCTCCTCTGCCTCTTCTTTCCCCTACCCGATTATTAAGGTGAAGAAACAGCTGTTAGAGGGCCAAGAAGTCAGGGAAGAGAGGGAAGAATGACCACCTCATTCCAATAGCCTGTGTACAGTCTGGAAATTTCAAAATGGGCCAGAGGAAAAAAAATTATTAAGTCAAATTTATAGGTTTTTTTTTTTTTTTTTGAGATGGGACTGGATATTATTAAATAGGAATAAAAGATATTCAAGACTGCATTTATAATAAAAAATGATCTAGAACTCTTGTTAATATCACAATAGTCATTGTTTTGACACAGTTTTTGTTCAGAGGCAAGGGAAATTTTCTCACATGGAATTTAAGTTTGAAACTATGATGTGACACAAAAAGTTGTATGTATGTATTAGTTCCTTTATCACACTGCTAATAAAGACATACCCAAGACTGGACAATTTATAAGGAAAGAGGTTGAATAGACTCACAGTTCTGCATGGCTGGGGAGGCCTCAGGAAACTTACTTAGGGAGGAAACCACCCCTCATATTGTCTTATGCCCAATTTCTGCCTCCAAAGAAAGAAGAAGTAAAAACTAAAAGGCAGAAATGAAATCCACAACAGACAGCTCAGCGCCACACCCTGGGCCTGGTAGTTAAAGATCGACCCCTGACCTAATCGCTTATGTTATCTATAGATTACAGATATTATATAGAAAAGCACTGTGAAAATCCCTGTCCTGTTTTGTTCTGATCTAATTACTGGTGCATGCAGCCCCAAGTCATGTACCCCCAATTGCTCAGTCGATCACGACCCTCTCAAGCAGACCACCTTAGAGTTGTGAGCCCTTAAAAGGGACAGGAGTTGCTCACTTGGGGAGCTAGGTTCTTGAGACAGGAGTCTTGCCAATGCTCCAAGCTGAATAAACTGCTTCCTTCTTTAACTCAGTGTCTGAGGGGTTTTGTCTGCGGCTTGTCCTGCTACATTTCTTGGTTCCCTGACTGGGAAG